AGAGCTGATTTTGGCGTTATTGATAACATTTTTCAGATTACTTACAGAAAAAAAAATGTATTCAGTTGAAGTGTTGCCGGATGATAAAAAACCAGTTTTTTTTTTGATACTGTGATTTTTAGGAAATTTTCTATTGAATAAGAATAAAAGACTAAAAGGCGACGTATACAACATTTATTTTAAGTTTTCCTTACGTTTTTCAACTGAATATTTCTTTTTATATTGCGTGTAAACTAGCAACCTTTTTTTTATGTATGATGTTTTGCGTACTTAAAGATCTTTTATTTGAAGATAGAACTTACTAACTTTTTCTAGGCAATTTTATACTGTAAACCCAACATAACAAGAGGCGGTCTTAAAACTCCAATATCTGTTTTAACTAAATATTAACTTACTTTTGAATAAGAATTAGAGAATAAATGACTACAAGCCGATCTATTACAAATTTTATTTTAGTTTTGTATGTGTTTTTCAACTGAATGTTTCTTTTTCTATTTAGTGTAAACTGGCAACCCTTTTACTTTGTCGTATGGAGCTTTGTGTACTTAAACATAATTTATTTGAAGATAGAACTCATTAACTTTTCCTTGGCAATTTCAAACTGTAAACATAACAAGAGGCGGACCTAAGATCCCACCGCTCCGATTCCACAAGCGACTCGTTTATGCTCAAGAACTTTACAATAAGTAAAGCAACAAAAACTTCCATTGGTTTATTATGACATATGGGTTAGGTTAGGTTAGTGTATGAAAAACAACGCACGAGCCGAGCGAGCGTAGCGAGCGTGCCGCGGTAGCGGCCGGCGAAGTGCCAGAAACGAATCGCTTTTGTTGATGGTAACATTTGGTTTATAATGTTTAAAAGATGACCGTGACCATTTTAATTTCAATTTTGATTTCGATATACTTGACAATTCGGGATCTTTATAGCCACACTTTCACATAGGTAAGTATGGAGAAAAGAAAATCCAATTTTTGACACGATATTTAATACTTAAAATATATTTTTCTATACTTTTAGATTATTGAGAAAATATGTTCTTTTGATATTCAAAATGAAAGTGTGCTACGTAGGTATGAGTTTGAAATTTGACATTTATATATTTGGTGTATTATTTAAGGTAACACTGGAGGAAATATCTACTTGATCCTTTTTCATACTAATTATAAACTTACTATTGAATAAGAATAAGCGACTATAATTTATTTAGCGTTTTGCTTGCATTTTTCGACTGAATATTTATTTTTCTATTGCGTGTAAATTATCAACCCTTTTTCTTTGATGTATGATGCTTAAACAACTTTAATTTGAAGACAGAACTTATTAACTTTTTGTTGGCGATTTCAAACTATAAAACAAACATAACAAAAAAATCGAAAATCTCAAATTCTGCAACGGAGGCGGACTTAAAACCCCACCGCCCCGATTCCACTAGCTACTTGTGACCTCGCAACCAAGCGAAAGCTTCTATTCTGAAACGAAGGCGGACTTAAAACCCCATCGCGTCGTGAATTGATCTATTCTAATATCTGGCCACGACGTCGGTTCCCTTTTCGTATAATAAATAAATCTTACATAAATAATGTAATGTAATAATGCAAATACAATAAATACTATTTCTTGACATTTAATTGATTAATTAATGATAGTAACACTGATGGAAATATATGTTCGATTGTTTTTTAATACTATACAGTAATTTACTAATAAATAAGAATAAGAGAATAAAAGACAAAACTTATTTGAAGTATCTATACAAAATTTATTTTAAGTTTTCGCTTGCGTTTTTCGACTGAATATTTCTTTTTCTATTAAGTGTCAACTGGCAACCCTTTTTCTTTGATGTATGGTGCTTTGTGTCCTTTAACACCTTTTATTTGAAGATAGAACTTACTGACTTTTTCTAGGCAATTTCAGACTGTAAACCCGACATAACAAGAGGCGGACTTAAAACCCCACCGCCCCGATTCCACTAGCTACTCGTGACCTCGAAAGCAAAGCGAAAGCTTCTATTCTGAAACGAAGGCGGACCTAAAACCCCAATCGCGTCGTGGATTGATCTATTCTAATATCTGGCCACGACATCGGTTCCCTTTTCATATAATAAATAAATCTTACATAAATAATGTAATGTAATAATGATAATAAATACTATTTCTTGACATTTAATTGATTAATTAATGATAGTAACACTGATGGAAATATATGTTCGATTGTTTTTTAATATTATACAGTAATTTACTAATAAATAATAATAAGAGAATAAAAGAAAAATCTTATTTTAAGTATATATACACAATTTATTTTATGTTTTGCTTGCGTTTTTCGACTGAATATTTCTTTTTCTATTAAGTGTCAACTGGCAACACTTTTTCTTTGATGTTTGGTGCTTTGTGTCCTTCAACACCTTTTATTTGAAGATAGAACTTACTAACCTTTTCTAGGCAATTTCAAACTGTAAGCCTGACATAACAATAGGCGAACTTAAAACCCCACCGCCCCGATTCCACCAGCTACTCGTTACCTCCCCGGGCTGCTCGCAGCCCGGGGCAACCAAGCGAAGGCTAGTTTATTTGATTAAAATTAAATTAAATGTAGAATAAAACGTAGTGATGTAAGAGTTCAGCTCCCTCAAGTGTTCTTATTCGAACACTGAACCTTGGTAGGAAATATAAATGATTTATTGTTTGGTTAGAAGTAGAGTTAGAGAAGGTGTAATAGTTTTTTTAACGATTATCATAGCCAAGTAGTAAAAGTGGCGCGACGAGAAAGGGGGGGGGGGGGTAGCCAGAATCTGGTCCTGGGCCCGATTCGGAGATGTAGCGGCCCTGCTATAGGTTTAGCCGCCCTAATAGCTGAAAAGAAAGCAGCTATCGTACTTTCAAATTGACAGACCGTCTTGAAGTTAACAGTGTTTTGCTGTTTAAGCATCTCGGGTACCTGGCCCAATCGCATCATGGGGGTGCTCCCGCCAAGTCGAACAAAAATTAAAAAGGGCACAGTAGTACCATACTTTTCTCGAAGCCATTTGGGGCTGTAACTTCTTTGTGGAGTATTTTCAGTGACCAAAAGGGCATTAGAAAACGAGGCACATTTCCATATTACATAAAGTTTGCTTTTGTATTCCTCACATAACTTTAGTTTTATTAATAGCAATGTCGAAAGGAGAGGTTTCAGACATTTCTTAAATTAATAAAGTAGTATATGAATACTTAGTTATAAATTGTAATTGATTATCATATTATTTATTTTACAATACAGCACATATTACAATAAGGTGTTTTTCCTTAATTATAAATACCCATAAATAATAATATTTTTTTTAGTTTTAACGCGTAGATGAAAGGTCTGTCTGCATTAAATTGAAGCTTTGAAGCATATCGTCTGTACGATCTGTAGGTTACTATGTAAACTGGAAACGAAACAAAAAAATAAGAATTACTATGTTCTTTTTACAAGAATTGTGGTGTTTATTAAACTGTTACCTTCGGGTAAGCATCTATTTTCTTTTAATATAACAAAGGGAAAGTTAAATAAAATTTAACAGTTTTAATGGAGGTCTAAAAGTTAGAATCGCTCGTGGAAGGTTCATATATGGTACCTATAGGTATTTTTTTCTGCAATGTCGAACACTAATAACACCATTATTAAGAATGTTATTTGTGGGACATTAATACATTTGTATTGAATAGACATACGTGCATAATTATAACAAGTGAAAAATAATTCGTAAATCTTTTATTGAAGTCAGATCTGGGTGTTGGTTAGTGACTATAGCGAACGACAATAATGTAAATTGTCGTAGAAAAAATTTTTTGAAGGTTATTTTTCCTGATAAACTCTTAAATTAGAGAATATATAATCGAAGGATAACATGGATTATCGATACATTTATTTATTTCATTGCATTGCATACATGTGACTTAGAAACTAAATACATAAATTTCAGTTAATAATATTCACATGCACCATGGCAATAGAGAAAGATGGAAAGAAGAGGGTCAGACATTCCATTTTATCTAAAACTTTTGATTCAAATATTCATTCACTGTATATTCTTTAGCATTTTTATAAATCGAGTGTATGTTGTTTCGTTCTTAAGGTATTCAGGTAATTAATTATAATTTTTAATTGACATTTTATAAGTTCCGGAACTGTGTAAAGTTAGAAGGTATTTGGATTAGGTTATTTTAGTAGCGTGGCGTGTTATGACAAGGAACAGCTCCTTTTTTAGAATACATGTTAGGATGCTGGCTAAATTTACAAATTTGTAATATGTAGATAAACGGTAGGGTAAGTATATTTAAATTTCTAAAATGTGGTTTGCAACTTGTTCAATCAGTTTGGTTAATATTTGTTAGAACGCGGATACATTTTTTTTGTAATATTAACAGGTCTTGTGCGTCTGTGCTGTTCCCCCAGAGAATCACACCATAATTAAGCCAGGCGTAAGCGTACGCGTAATAAGCAGTAATAGCCTTATTGATATTTGTAGACTTTTTAAGTTCTCTTAGGGCGTAAATAAATTGGGATAATTTTGTTTTTACTTTTTGCACGTGAAGTTTCCAGTTAAAGTTTGAATCAATTACAATACCGAGCAATGAAATGGAAGGAGTACAATCAATTTTTATATTTTCATAAGAGAAGTTAATGTATATTTCGACCTTCTGACGTGGTCTAAATTGCATTAATTTGGTTTTAGAAAAATTGATTTCCAAATTGTGGTCTTTCATCCATTCTACATTTTTTTTCAAGGTGGTTAATGTTTTATCATTTAGGTTTGTATCATTATTATAAGATAGTAGCAATGAAAAATCGTCAGAGAACATTTCAGGTATAGTTTAATTTTTTACAATGGCTTTTTTCTTATTTACGCCGATTATGCAAATTTATCGCCTATAGAATTTTTAAGTGATCTTTTAATATAGTAATAAATTAAAATAAACATGTAACTAAAATGATAAGTACCTACGTTACGCAACTAAAATAATGAAATAATACTACTTCTCTTACTATTTCTATTAACAAACAGGAGTTAAATAATAATATTATAACCTTTCATTTAACTTCTACGCAGTGACAGCGTTTCGCTCATGGTCGAGTTCTAGGTAATATTTTTTTTATAACATAATAGCACTGCTACTTTCGTATGGTATCATAACGTTATGAAGAATACATCGCGACATACAACGTGTCCTATGGAATAAAGTTCATTCCAAAATGAAATTACAATGAATAGCTAGAAAATCCATAACACAAAATAAAATCCACTTTTTTCCTGGTACTCTGAGATGGGATTCGAACCCAGGATTTGTTAAGCATTTTTCATTGATATTTTTAATTACCAGTATAGTACTGTTAATACAAAATTAGTCAAATATAATAATTAGAACAAATTTTTACGAAAGTTTAAAATATTTGTTAAAAATATTTCTTTCGGTTGTTTGGGTGGATTACATGAACATTGATGAAAATACACTTTGTAATCGCGAAAAATCGGCTGCAATTGCAGTCGTTAATACCCTCCAATCCGCATTGGGCCAGCGTGGAGGTTCATGGCCCATCCTTCTTAACCACATAAGGAAGACCTGAGCCCCTGCAGTGGGGACGTAAAAATGCTGATGATGATGAATCGTGAAAAAGTATCAAGTGCTTGAATAATTCGTTGGTCCTTTTAGATTCTGGGAAGCTCAGCGTTTAGAGTAGTCGCCCGGATTTCGAAAAGTCATGGGTTTGAATCCCATCTCAGAGTACTAAGGATTGAGTAGATTTTTTAAACATTTTTCATCAAATATGATAATTATCTCTTTGTATAAATAAAGTAGCTCAGGAACGTACTGGATAAGCGCCCGCAATCTTTGTTGTTAATCAAATTTCTCAAGGGTCGGTCACCGGATGGGTAACCCAGAAATGATAGCCGTTGGCTTCGGCTGAATTTTCAGTCGCATAATACCCTCCAACTTGCATTGGGCTAACGTGGAGAGTCATGGGCCATGCTTCTCAACCGTCCATAAGGAAGGCCTGAGTCCCTACAGTGGGGACGTATGATGATGATAAATTAAGAATATCACACTCACCACTTGCCACAGCTGCCTCGGCTCCTTCCTCATTTACTTCGATGAACGCCTTCTGGATAGCATCACTAACGTATAAACCGCTGCCAAAGTTTTGAAGAAGCTTTTCCAGTCTAGCCTTATTGGAGTCAAATAAGGTTTTAATCCCCATCTGAAATTAAAAGAAAGACATTTTGTTCAAAGTATTTAATCTCATTGAATAGTATCACCATGTAATTATTGCGTATAGCAATCTGTTTCAATTTGAAAGAAATATATTCACAAATTCAATCCTACAACTGTTCGACATGCGAAAGCAATTACGATCGCGATGTTTTTTAAAGATATTTAATATACGATATCGTTATTTTAATAATTGAAATTGTCTTAAGCAAGCGCAATAGATATCTTTGAAAGTTTCATATTGATTTATTATGTCAAAACATCAAAAAATTAGATTTTTTTTTTTTAACTTTTAAGACCCGTACTTTCGAAATGGTATCGAATAAATTCTTTAATAATGCAAAAGTATTATAATCAGGCTTTCCATTTGTCATAGCTACTACTTAATATACTTTGTATGCAAAACAAATTTTGTAATTTTCTAATTTACCCCACAATGTTTAAAATTAACATATTTGCGTTACATATATAACATATGTATGTGTACTAAATTTTAACTCAATTGGTTTAGTACCTCTAGTTTTGGAGTACAACAAGGTTCTTTTTTATCCGTTACATTCATTAACCCTAAATACTATATAAGAAGTCTCCAACTTTTCTTAGTTTTATCAGGGGCAGATGATTTGGTTCTGACAATTTTGAGATTATGACCTAGTTATGGCCATTTTAAAAGTAACGCGGAAGTGAACTTCAACAGATCACAGCTGTTAGCGTTATTAGTATTGGTCATAAAGCAAAATATAAAAAAAAAAACATTATTTGTTATAAACTATATATACGTAATTATGTGATAGTTAGAACGCCTTAAAGTGCCAAATAGTTAAAAAGAGGGCCATACCGTTTCTTCTGCCATATAAAATACTTACATTTTCAAGTACAGTTATTAGGTTAATTGTGGTTTCAATCTTGAATTTGGGGAGATACACAGAGACTTTAGTGGTGTACATCTTTTCTGTGGCCTTCTCCAGAGCGCTGGGGTCTTTCAATTTCTCTTGAAGAGCATTAAGTCCATCAATTTGATTCGGGAGAACAATTAAGAGTGATGCTTCTTCTCCTTCATAGAAAATTTCCAAGAGCTGAAATTTAAAATATGGACATTGTCCGATTAAATAAATTTTGCTTTCACAATGCTATATTATACTTCTGTATGTTAAGAATGATTATGAAATTAGAATAAAATTATAGAGATAACTGATATGTTGAAAAAAATAATTGAAAACGACAAATACCTTAGCATCTAATTCCTGACTATAGCCGTATTTGAACTCGTCACTTTTAGCCATTGTGGGAACTTTAATAGTTTTGTCTTTTGTCACATGAAAATCACGGTCTATCGTTAGTCTAGAGTCAAATTTCTTCTTCCAAGTGCCCTATTTTGAATTGAAGAATAAGTAATAACTATTTAGACATTGTTTTATCTCATGAATTTAAACACAATAATGTTTGCGTTACCTTGAAATAGATGGCATTTACGAGAACAGCTTTTGTGTCAGCTCCTAAAGTGAGAGGGTCGACCAAATCCTTGATCCGTTTATTAGTGTTATCCTCAACCTATAAAATTCATAACAAAGATTGGTTATTAGGGGAGACCGATCTTCAAATAACATGGAATTATATGACGAAAATTATAAGATTTATTTTTGGTACTTGAATCTATTACAGAATCTTAATCGGTCTCTGTAATAGTATAGTAATTTCTGCCAGTACCTGAATAGTTTTTTTTTACAGGCATATTATTACAAAATTTCGGAAGGGAACATTCAGCCTCGCGTTGGGGCTAATTGTTCCACGTGACAGGCAAATTGTGCCGCTTGGATAATAGAAATAAAATTGGTTTGTTTTAAATATAACAGTCATTTTTAAAGTTACATCGAGTATGTATTAATGTAATGCTATAAACTACAAAAAAAACAACAACAAAATATTACTAGTTACATCTGGATAAACATTTAACTAAAAATTGAGATCTATTAACTTATAAATATCATAACCTACATATTTAATAATAATTTAGGATACAATATTTCTAACTGAAAGGACTCTCGAGATAAAAACTTTTTTAAAACTGAAAAATATTGGAACTTTAAAAAGAAAACAATAAAAACATAACAAAAAACATTCAGATAAATGTTTATATTAGACTTTAATATAAATTCATCATGTTAAAAATCTTATCAGATCTATAACTGCACTTATTTTAACTAAATAAGACAACTGGCAACCTCCAGACTAACGTTTCATTATTAAGGGGTGATTCTTGGGAAATTTGTTCTCCGTGTAATTTCCACGGCATTTTTGAAATCGCAAAATTATGGTGAATTATATAAATATTTCGAAAACTTCTGCAAATTTAAACAATATATTAAAATTGGCCACGACTGAGATCTATACTTTTGCTAAAAAAAAATGTAGAAAATTGGCGGACCATGGAAATTACAATAAAGGCAATGGAAATTACACAGCAGATAAAATTTTGCTAAACACCATGTCATATATGAAATTAAGCTGTCATATTAGTTAGGGTAGTATTAAGATCTACCTTCATTATACTGAAACGATATACGATAGTACTTACTCAAAATTGGAACGAAACGTAAACACGTTCATGTTCTCAAAAAACAAAATATATACAACGTGTTATGTAAATAGCGCAAAACCTCTCAGGTAGCTAAGCCCATAAAACCGAACAACTTTCACTATGAGACCAACATTGAAATTTCAGCATCTGGCAAATTTTTCGAAGTAACGTTACATCGGACAAACAAAAGTCGGGCGTCGAAGTAAGATATGCGATGTATTGAAACTTCAAACAATGAAGGCTTCTTCGTACTTGTATAGTTGTCGATGTATCAATTATCGAAGAAACGTGTTTCGAAGTGACATAGAGAACCCTTTTTCGAAATGGTTATTTATTTTGTCAATTATCTTATAAAATACGCATCCTACGTCAAATATCAATAATTAATTTATTGTAAATTTAATTGGCTTTCATTTAACACCAATTTGGTATCTGTAGGGCCAGTGGTTTTCTCAAAAACGATAGATAGCGAACACCGGTCATAAGTAGATATTAGGAGGTTATTTCAGTCAAGATAACCCCCTTGGCTATCTATCGTTTTTGAGAAAACCATTGGCCCTACAGGTACCAATTTAGTGTTTAATCAAAGTAAATTTTTACAATAAATAAATAAATTATATAATATGTTAACTTATTCCAGTGATATTTAAGACGATTTAATTAAAAAAAATAACCAACATTCAACATTTAAGTCTGTATTTGGCGATGGCATGCATTTCATTGAAAACAAACATTGAACATAACGTTTGTTTTTTTGCAACCAAAAAGAAACAAGGTAATTTCCATGGTTGATACGTAATTTCCATGGTGTTTTATCCATGGAAATTACACCATGGAAATTACCAAAAAACATATATTTTGATATTACTCTGCATTGAAAAGATATAACCGGCTAGTTTTTTACTGTTTATCTACATTATAGAGCTAGGTATTTCACCTTAAAACCCATTTTCTAGAAGAAGTACAATTATATTGAAAAAATGTGACATGGCAAAGCCGGATAACTGAGAACCAAAATTTAAGAAATTGAAGAACTTATTCTCGCTACGAAAGCGCGGGAAACAGCGACGTGGCCACCTCACCTGCTAGCTGCGGCGTAAATGACGATTCGTAAACACCAATCGGGGTTCGTCTACGCCTCTCCAGCTCAGAGCAGTATCTCGCGCAAGGCGCGCCGCGAAAATTTTGCTAAGCGTGTGACACGTATACTTCTGACCATAAAATCAAAAGTTTCCTTCCGATTAATTTGAAATTTGATCAATATGTAAACCGATTTGTCTTTTTTAAATTTGTGTAACAAACTGATTAAAAACGTGGTTAATTTCAAAAATATTTGCGATTGCTCAAAAGTCGGCGCGTGTGTGACACGGTAAAATCGTGCAAAATTGACCGGATTTGAGATGTTAAGGGTAAGTTACTCCGATCTGCGTCGTTTTTTATCCGTGAAATCTATATGACCCGATGCTTAATGAAATGAAGAAACGATGTAATAGTAGTTTTTATCATAAAAATTTATTTTTATAGGAGGTATGTCCCTGTGACACTCAAAAATTGCTTTTTCAAGAAATACCCTAAGTGTAATGACAAGTGATATCACAACTTCAGCTCTAATTAAATAACAAAACTGAACTTCTAACCTCCATATTATTTTCATTTTCAAACTAGGCGATAAAATTATATTTATTTTAGTAGAATTACAATGAAGACAAATCATCAGTCTCGTTTTAAACATAATTAACGTTGTTATCTTTTATTCTAATTAATCATTAAATTCTTCATCTGACACAATTGGGACACACATAAGTAATATCTGCTTCATTTATTTTTGTAGCCTATGGTAAGATCGTTACCAGTTCAATTTTTTTAACAAATCGATGTATTTAAAACAAATCGTCATGTAGCAAATTTCTAGTTCTCTGGCGAGCGTTTTAAATTTTCTTCCATCTTTTATGACAGCATTGGCAGCTTAGTGCAATAAAGATTTGGAGGTTTTCCCTCTGTCAGTTTTTCATTTGTAGGTACGTACCATCCTAAAGAAATAGAAAAAGTGTCTTAAAAATATGATGAATTTGAAAGTCAATTGGGGTGAGTTATTCCGGGGAACAACCAGCCCCTTTAGGAGGGAACTTGCAGCCCCAATTTAAATTTTTGTTTCAAAATTGTCATACTAGCAAATTACCGAAATCAATTGAAAAAACATTCAGACAATAAGATACGTAACTAATGCCACTCTGAAATAGGAAAGTTACACATAAATCGGTCAATAATAAATAAAACTAGATCAAAAAGATTATATACGAAAAAATTTACTCCCGTGGTGTTCCAATAGCAAGGTACATACAGCCGTTCATCCGCAGTTGTCAGAGCCACTAAGATGGTCGCCAGCGCAGCACGTCATTTGATGTTTAAAAGACGCACTTCACATGTGTTACTATCTCTTTCCTTTAAAAAGTTATAACTGTTGGAACAACTTACCCCGGGAACTTTCAGCCCGGCCTACTTAGGTCGTCATCATCAACAGCCTTAATATTTTTTGTCCGGCCGGTATTGTATGGATGTTCAAATCATAATTATTTATTTCGACTTAGGACAAGCTATCTTTATTTTTATGTATACAATGAAAACCGCATTAAAATTCGTTGGGAAGTTTAAAAGATTTCAATGTTGAGACAGCTGGAATCGCGTTTGTTTTATACTTTATATAAATGCACGGGCACTATGAAAAATAACAATATATATTACTTGGTCCATAACGCGTGCATAGAAGTATTTTCACAAATTTTTCGTCATCATCCTTATCAGCCCTTTTACGTCCCCACTGCAGGGGCTCAGGCCTTCCTTATGGATAGTTAAGGAGAATGGGCCATGACCCTCCACGTTGTCCCAATGCAGGGTATTGACGACTGCAAAAGCAGCCAGGACATACAGTGCTTTTCGAAGCACGGAGTAGCTTGAGATAATAATTTTTGGGCCACCCATCCCGTGACCGACCCTTGCGAAAGTTGCTTAACAACAACGGTCGCGGACCGCGGCGCTTATCTACTACGCCACCATTCTTCTATTTTTAATTAATGTCATCAATTAATAGGAAAAAATTGGTTAATTAAATCAAGTGTTTTCATTTTCTAAATTTTGTTTTTATTAAACTTACCCAAGAGTTGATAGTGGCAGCAGCTTCAAAGTTCTTAACGAAATCAACTTGCTTTATGTCTGAATGAAATACGTCCCTAGAAACTACTCCGAATTCCTCATTTAATGCTACATCTTCTGGAAGGAATATTCTGTCGGCTATCTTCAAGTCGACTCCTTTTACCGACCGTACGTCCTGGCTCACATAAGAAAACACTTCTTTGGTCTGAAAATAAAAAGTTTTTAAAAACTTAATAAATCTATAAATCATCCTTTATCAATAATTAAATCGTTATCCTTCTATTTAGACAACACATCGTTCAATTCTTAAAACATTTGAGTGAGTTTGGACGAAATTATTGGTTCCAACTGTGTAGTTATGTTAATAGCACGTAAAATCTGGTTGTCTTATTGTAGATCCCGTTAGGGGTTATGTAGAAAAATAAAAAGTTTTTATATTGATTGTGATGACACTATAATGTGAATTTATTTTATTAAGTTGTATTATTACCGCAAATATTGTACTTTCTTTTATAAGTTATAGAGGGTAGTTACTACAACTAAGTAATGATGACTTTGAAAGCTAGTAAATTGTAATTGTTTTATTTAGTCAACTATAAGTCGTATATTAATCTTGTGGTTTTTAAAAGTTTACTACAAAAAAAGTCCCATCAAATTATTGGGAATTTTATTATTTAAAGTATTTCTGTTTCTATTGTTTATTATAAGTTAAAACGTAACCAGTGGTACTTACAGCGTTATCATTAGGTAGGCCGATGACATCTAGGATTTCGTCATGTGTTATTCCAACTGAGGCTAAGCCCAGTTGTGCTAGAGGTGACATCGCTGAGAAACCGGACATTACAACGCTCTTGCCGGAATTCTCTTTTGCGACTTCCTATCAAAAAAAAAAAAAACAAAATCAAAATGGTTTATTTACGTATCAAATCAGTGTGAACATCTGTTTGTGTTAACATTCCTGGTAAGTATTTAAAAATACCTGTATCAGGATGTTATCGCTCTTCGAGACCTATTCCTTCTATATATCCCTTCCTATAGACAAATGATAAGAAAATAAGAATTTTAATCGTGACTGGTATTTCACAAATAAATAGAAAGTCTTAGATTGAATAATAGAAGTGGTATTAAAACAAAACATAAAGAAAGAGGAAGTAATAAAAAAAAACACAGCATGATAAAATAATACTAATAAAACAACAAGTAATACAAGTATTATAGTTATCTTCAATGACTATGGCTTTGCGTTTGGGCTCCAGGAGCATAAAAAAAAAATCAATTTTTACACAGAGAGAGAAACGGTCAAAAAATTAAATCCTGTTTTTACTTTTGTAAAAAGCATAAATTATACAACCATGTATTCATAAAATATGGTGTATCGAAGATATTAAACAATAATTTGATGACATTATAGTAAACGAATCACTTGTATGGACTTAGTAAGTGCAGTCAACAGCACGTCAGTTTATACACAAGTGTTTAGATTGGTTTAAATGAACTATTTAATTTTATACGTATTACGTTGGTCGATATATCCTCCACCTCGGCTACGGAAGTCATACATCAATAACCTCCGTAGGCGAGTGGTAGACTCGCCGACTTTAAGGTTTCGCCATCTCTGAGGAGTCTGAGGTCGATTCCAGGTCGTATTAAATGGACATTTCTTTCTAGATGGTCTCGGGTCTGTGAGTTGTTGTCTCAGATATTTCATAATAAGCATCTTTAGCCATTCTTCTTCGAGTTTGAGTAATGTATGTGATCTTGTTTATATACTTTTAGTGCAGAAAAAGTATAAGAATCGATTGGGGATGAAAACTTAAAAAAAAAATAGAAGGCGGAGGTTCTCTGTGAGTTATTAATTAAATGATAGGCGTCCGACTTCAATAGCATTTTCTTGAATAAGTAGCTTTTGAGATAAGTATCATATATTTACAGTCTGTATTTTTATGTTTTTATTTCATGCTTTTAAGTGTTATTGATGTTCTTTATATAGTAGGTAACACTAAAAATATTAAATATCTACATAGATACTCCTTTTGGATTTCGATGTCGGTTAAAAATTGTCCATTTGTGATAATCGAATGTGTTGTTGTGTACGAAAATTTGTTCAATAACGACAGTTTTTAATCATTATGACGTGTACGTTGTTTGTTTGCTTTAACTTTAAGATCGTTTGAAGGTCAATTATGATATGACGAATGCATCTCTAAAAATAATATTAGCATAGTTATTTTTAGAACGTTCTCATAATAACGAGAATCTTATTTTTTTTTGCCACGCGTATAATTTATAAACTTATTAGTATTCTACGAGACGCATTGTTAACTAAACATGCTTACAATTGTATGTTCATTTAAGTCAATACCTAAATTTTTTTAGCCACTTATTGAATTCGTTAAGAAATTTTGCTGATACTAGATATTTGAATTTCATATTAATAATAACAATAAACCAGCTGCTGAAGTCATATTCTCCCGACGTTAGCGATTTCGATATTAGCACAATTCAGTAATATTTAACTAATTTCTCATTTGCAGGCGCAAGTAAATTTTTTTTTTTACATATTTACTGAGAAAAAGTAGTACAGTTTATCTGCAACTATTTGTTTTGAATTACATTATAAAAGATTAAAAATATTATTGCACCTATTAATGCTTCCATTATGTTCTAAGTTCCCTGACCTTCGGAAATCTGATGTTATATTGCGATATGTTGCTAATTTTTTTAATCTTAGATCTATCAGCTTACTTCTTTGTTTGTCCGAGATTGTAGAGAGGTTGTATAGAATATGTTGTTGAATTCTTAATTACTGTATAAAAATAGCAATGCTAAGGACTAATTTGACTTTACCAATAACATCATAGAAGCGCAGAACTATGGTATAAGGTAGGGCCATCGTTTAGTTTTGTAAGATTTCGTCATATTAAATAAGAATTTTTAACTATTTAAGTGTGGACATATTATGACTTTAATGCTGCAAAACTTAAACAAGTGAGAATATATAGAATAAGTCTAGTTTTTTCCAGCAAATAGTGAATATAGGTGTGCTGTAAGGGTCCATTCTTGGACCACTACTCTTTAATATATGTTCGGATGTAATATTATATAGTATGCAGATAATTTTAAACATACATACCGTTTAAACTAAATCAAATAAATTCTACTTTGGCTACATTTAAAGATCTTCAAAATATATGTAAGTGGTTGGTTCCATCATAAATTTGAAAATACATATAGAACTGTTGCCATATTAAGTTTAAAACATATTACTTAGTCTGAATACAGATTTTTCAGCACAATCAGATGAGGTATAACCGATTTGATAGATTATACAGACTTACACATGTACAGTTAAAGAACATCAGGTTATAAAACAGTAATTTGTTTACTTCATTCTAAAACATAATGCATTGTGTGTACAGATCAAAATCAATTGTGTATATTTCACATTATGGTAAACTGACGTAAACCCATCTATATGCCTATATAAATATACAACGTGTCCCAAAATTCAACGATAAGCGGGCGCCAAGAGGTACCCTTGCTCATGTGTACTTATGGAAAAATAAGAAAAAAATTATATCTTATCTTTTTTATTATAAAATTAAATTCGAAAATCTTCGAAAATTTACACCTTTTATGATATTTTCAACTACCACGACCACAACTTCTCAATTATGTTCAATCTTTTTTTGGTATCGGATACCTAAGTAGCACTACTATTCGCTACAACACTTTCGAAAATTTTCGAATTTTATTTTATAATAAAAAAGATTAATAAGATATACTTTTTTTCTTATTTTTCCATAAGTACACATGAGCAGGTCTACCTCTTGGCGCCCGCTTATCGTTGAATTTTGGGACACGTTGTATATATACGTACATTATAAGTTGCTTATAAAATATATAAGTAATTTTACTCACAGTAAACATTTTAGCGGTGAAATGATTAGTTGCATCAATGAGGAGTTTCTGGACGCTCGACTCATCTGCCATTGCCATGGCAACCATGGCCAGAACTGTAAATAAAAATATTATTTTAATAAAAAACATAATTTAATTTATTATGTTTAAAGAAAGTCACCTTGATGCGACACAAAACGTATAAATGGGCCAACGTGAAGTGCTACTAACGTAAGCTTACGCTATTTACATCTTTCAGTAGCAGTATCCTCCGCTGACAGCATTAAATAAAATGCAAGAGTTTTAATTTGTAAGTACCCAGTGCGGAGGTCAAGTGTTGGAATACTTCGGAACAGACTGATGCAACAATTTCTAAGACATGATGTGTTGTCGCGTTCCACGACCTTTACGAGTATGATCTTCTTAATTAACAAATGATAAATTAGTGATTTAAAAAAATCAGTCAGAGTTTTACAAGAACTTCTGATACGTGCTGAGCCGTCGTATTCCACAATTGTACAGCCTGAGCAGCCTGAGTACATTAAGGTTTTTTTATATATTAAGAACTAAATTTTGAAACTTATAATGTATGGGACCATTCTACACACTTCAACACCCGCCACCACTAGGTGTTTAAACACCTGATCTTCGTATTGGATACTGAGTAATGTGTACCATTATTATTTCAACATACTGAACTATCAAACTTTAGAAAACTCTTGCATATTATTGTCATGAGCTTTTCATCTATTGCTATCTCGAGCTCCGTGCTTCGGAAGGCATGCTAAACCATTGAGCCCATCTATATTTGGCGATCGTTAACAGCCATCAATCCACACTGGGCCCGCGAAGTGGGTGATAGCCTATCCTCCTTATTCGATTCAATCCCACCCATAAGGAAGGCATATGCCTGAGCAGTGGCGACAATATTAATCTGATGAGGATAATATCAGACGTAGTACCGCTATCTAGTAATATTTATTCCAGTAGTTCCTGATTTTACTTCCTCAGAGCTCGGTGGCGTAGTGAATAAGTGCATCGACCCGCGATCGTTGTTGTCACGCAACTTTCGCGGGTCGGTCACGGGATGGGTGACCAAATATTTACTATCTCGAGCTACTTCGTACTTCGGATGGCACGTTAAGCCTTTGGTCCCAGCTGCATTTGCAGTCGTTAATACCCTCCAATCCGCATTGGTCCAGCGTGAAGGGTCATGATCTATCCTCCTTAACCATCTATAAGGAAGGCCTGAGCTCCTAAGTGGTGGGGCCGCAAAAGGGCCGATGATGACTTCCTCTTTCAATGAGTCAAATTATGATGTAGTTTGTCAATAAAAATACCGGCTTAAGATATCAACTTACTGGAAATAAATTGCTTCATTGTGAGAACTAGTTGTGTTCTCTTCGATTGTCGCACCTCGTCTGATTTGTTTCGATGGATGACTGTTTTTAAATATTAATCTGCAGGCAATTCGATGTAACTTACAAGAACTTCTGATACGTAGTGTATATATAGTCAGTATAGTTTTGTATTTTCACTTATTGCGATTTTACGATCACAATGCATTAATTTCAAATCCAAATTCTTTATCATTTATTCAGTTTAGGCAGTTAATAGCACATTTTCGCAAATTTATGGCGGGAGAACTTGCACTGAGAAGAACCGGCAAGAAACTAATAAAGCGGTGCTTTTTTTCTCCCTGTTTTATTTCATACACAGAAGTCCAATTCTAAAATAACTTCATTAGGGTTTGAAGTCACTTTTCATTAAAATATCAGAAATAAAAATACATATATTCTTTCGATAATCGATTAATATGCAGACAGTTAATATTGACAGTTAATATAGATACAATATTCATAAAAAAAATATTTGGAAAGGAGGTTAAGAAATAAAGATGAATAAGCAGTTAGGATATTCCAGAAAATTTGAAATTACTTTTTATCTGCAGGGTGTGGAACCGTCGATACTGTCATATATACCTTTAATAACAAATAAATCGTTTAATATCGGAATGCGTAGAAAGTATAAAAACAGGTAATTTAAATTAAAGAAAAAAACTTAATTTCCATTTGGTTTTCATTACCATACGATGCATAGTATTTATATTATGCATAAGCCTCCCCCATACTGGTCCTGCGTAGCCCGCATCCAGCGGCTTCCCGAAACCTTTATAAGATCGTTGGTCCACCTCGTGGGAGGCCTACCCACTGAGTTTCGCCCGGTACGTGTTCGCCATTCGAGAAATCTTTCGCCCCAACGGCCATCAGTTCTTCTTGCTATGAGTCCGGCCCACTGCCACATTAGATGAGCGATTCTTTGAGCAATGTCAGTAACGTTAGTCTCCTACGGATCTCCTCATTCCAAATTCGATCACGTAGAGAAATACCAAGTACTGCTCTCTCCATTAAATTGATATATATATGTATATGTTACACTCAAAGATCGAAAACGCTCAGTGAGCGGAAAAATAGCTCACAACGCGTTGTGGTCACAGTAAAACATCCACATGGCGAAATTCGTGTTATGGCTCTAATGAAAACGCGCACGACGCGTTGTGGCAATCACAGAAAGACCAAATAGCGAAATTCGTGTCGTGGCTGACATGCTATTCGATCTCAACGCGTTGTGGCAATGAAGAAAAGCCATGATGCGTTCTGAGCATTCATTGTTTTAACCATATCACAACAGACAGGTTGTAACGAACTTCGTCGTTAACACTCCGCTCAGCATCTATGTTATCATCTGGAAGTAAGCAAGGGTTTATAATGTGCCACTGCAAAAGACACTGTATTGATAAAAAGTGCAAGTGTCGCTCCAAGAATATAAAATGCAACTCCAAATGCCACAGTAATAGTTCCTGTAAAAATAAATAGCAATCAAATACTTATTTTAAGAACATTATTGTTGTTTATTGGTGGACAATAAACATTTATGTTTGTGTTAAATATTTTTATTACTTGAAAGAATTTAAATTGTCATTAAAAAATTAAAATCCCTAATTATTTTAAGTGAATTGTAAGAAATTTACAAATGATTAACATTTCGTGTTCAGTAATTTATTACATTAATATTAATACGTTGATTTTTTTAAATATAAAGTATTCTCAATAAACAACAAATATCGTTTTATTTTAATTTATATAATATATTTCATAATAACAAACACTTTATGCAGTGATTTTATAAAATAAAAAATATTTCCTAAGGACATCTACCAAAACGTTTCCAGCCTAGGCCTAGTAGGATCCATATCGGAAAGTAGTGTGCGTCGTAATCAAATAATCTTCCATACGCGTGATGGATTTTCTTCATTGCCACAACGCGTTGAGATCGAATAGCATGTCAGTCACGACACAAATTTCGCTCTTTGGTCTCTCTGTGATTGCCACAACGCGTCGTGCGCGTTTTCATTAGAGCCATAACACGAATTTCGCCATGTGGATGTTTTACTGTGACCACAACGCGTTGTGAGCTATTTTTCCGCTCACTGAGCGTTTTCGATCTTTGAGCGTAACATATACATATATCGCGTTTTTGATATTACCGACGACGTTTGGATTTATTGTTTTTTTTTGCAAACTCGAAAAATTCAAAGCTAGACCGATATCTAGTCTTATTTTATGACTCTTTGAAGTTAACTTTTTTGGAAAAAGTATCATTTTAGTGGAAAAGTTGAAACATTACATTATTATGTAATGTGCACTATGTAAACTTGTTATCGTCTTGTATGACCGAAATAAATATTAAATTCTTTGAACTTAATAAGTTATGTTTTTTATTCTATCTTTTCTGGTTATTATAGTATGTAGAGTATTTAATTATAAACATTGATTGGCAACCGACAATTATGTAAGCATAGGATGCGTCATGTGTTTATTTATTTGATATAACAATAAGCCGAAATAGTGCACGGTGAAGTGGCTTATCAAATAATTGCTTTGATGAACCACTTTTTTAATTTTTATTTACAAAAATACATTTTTGTAAATAATAGAAAGGTGTTTGCCGCAGTCAAAGCCTAAATTTTCTCCATAGAAAGAACCAACTTTTACCCCTTAAATTTTATCAGTGCTATTAATAAACAAGGTTTAGCATCAGAGTAAATATACGCTATAATTGCATTTTTTAGTATTAGTCTAAATTCATAATATACAGGTAATAAACTTTATACCTTATAGGAATAAATATTATTCCCGTAGAACCTCGAACTAGATTAACCTTTGCTGGGTCTCTGTTAAATAATATGAATTTTGACTTTAACTTAGTATAGTCTCAGCGAAAATTTACTCTTAACGCTAAACCTTATTTATTAATAGCGGTTTCGTACAAAAAATGGAAACTCTGTTACGTATCTATAGTCGAGAGAGAAGCAATTACTTGAGAATATGTTAAAACTTAAGTAAATAATTTTAACTAATAGTCGAGATTTTGAATTAAGTAAGAACCGTCAATAGCTATTAATAATACTAAGCTAACTATAAACAGTTCTTGCTTCTTAATTTTTTTTGGTAAAAATATCTACTTAAGTTTTGTCATGACAATATAAATAATATATAAATAATACTGTTCGAGGAGCTCACGAACATACATGTGTAGGGGTATGCATGTTGAGTGTGTGTATGTATGAGTGTCAATGATTTGTTGATTTTAAATTGTAATAATAATCAGAGTCCAGCTGTTTTAAAAACATATAATTGGTTTAATTCAGGAAAACCTGTAATTAGTTTTACTCTTTGTTAGTATTAATTCTTAATTATTCCAATTTTGTACAAGCCGTTGGTTTTCTTACAATAAATTAAAAACAATATATTTATCTCGACTATATTCGAGTGTAAGTCTCCGCTGTCCGTTTGTCGGTCACCACGGCTGTATCTTATGAACCGTTATATTTTCACAGAAGATTTAATTTTGTTGTCGTTATAACACCAAATATATATAAGGGTCTCATACAACATACGTGTTTTTTTTCGTTTCTTGTAGATTAAGGTTTTCTTCGTACCCTTCGTGCGTGAGTCCGACTCGCACCGGTATTTCAACACTTCCCTATAGACGTAATCAAATCAAATCGAAAAGGGAGAATGCATGATCCACTTCCCTATTCGATTTGATGGTGGGTAGTAACGCTTAACGTGCCTTTTG